CTTTGCCTGCGCCGGCAAGCATGCAGAAAGGCCTGAGCCGTCTCGAAATGTGAATGCAAAAAAAACATTATTTTTCCGCCTCCTCTGTCGCTCCGTCTCTCTCTCTCTCTTACTCTTCAAACCCCGTTCATCGCTCGCCGTCTCTCTCTCTCTCGCTCGATCTAGTACCGGCCTGCACTCCCCTCGCCGGGCTCCATCTATCAACCCATGCCGAGAGTTTTCAATTGAGCCTTTTTCTTTTGTTCTCTCCCCACCTCTCTGTCGCTCTCTCACACGGCAAAAATCACGCTTTTTCCGGCCAATTGCAGTTGACCTGACGGCCTGCTTCGCCCTCTGTCTACTCTTCGCCCGACTGTGCTGTCTGTCTGGTTGTGTGCCGTTGTGCACAAATGTGTGTGTGCGTGTGTGTGTTTTGGGTTGAGTGAAAAAGAGCGGGTAAAGGTGAGGCAGATTTGGGTGTGTTTTTTCGCTGGACTATCTGCCTTCGCGTCGCGTCCGCACAATTCGACTGCCTCCGAGACACTTGGTTGGGTCTTGGCCATCGGTTGCCCGGCCGACCGACCAACTCTGTTGCCGACCCGCTTACCTGCGCGACGTCTGCGGATTTTCCCACTTGGTTTGCACGCCCACCCAACCCTACGACCCTCGCAACGGCTGGTGTCTGGCCCGGGCTCGCTGCGAGCCAAGCGTCCGGCGGCGCCATGAACCAGTACTCTTCGTAAGTGCTTCACTTTGCCCATTTTTCACTTGTCCCCCTCCCACCACCACCATCGCGACAGCGTCGACAAAGCCCACACGACTCGAGCCGCCTCCAAGCTGGCAGCCACGGAGCCTGGGACTCGTGGCAATCTCGACGGCGGAGTGGGCGGGATTTGAAGTGGCGACGAGTTACCGCGACCACAGACACGACTCGAACGAGTGACGCGTCGTCGAAGACGTTCGAGGCAGAAAGAGCGCCATGTTAACAGCTGCCAAGGCGGCAGTTGTGACGGGTTGTGACGGGTTGTCAAGACGATTGTTGTGTCTTTTGGTGTTCGACACGCGC